CTGAGCAAGGATATGCTCAAGCACAATCTGATCTTGGTTGGTGTTATGAGAGTGGAATTGGAGTAGAAAAAGATGAATAAAAGGCAGTGAAATGGTTTCAAAAAGCTGCTGAACAAGGATATGCTCAAGCACAATCTAATCTTGGTTGGTGTTATGATAATGGAACTGGAATAGAGAAAGATGAACAGAAGGCAGTTGAATGGTATCAAAAAGCAGCTGAGCAAGGATATGCTCAAGCACAATCTGATCTTGGTTGGTGTTATGAGAGTGGAATTGGAGTAGAAAAAGATGAACAAAAGGCAGTGGAATGGTATCGAAAAGCTGCTGAACAAGGATATGCTCAAGCACAATCTAATCTTGGTTGGTGTTATGATAATGAAACTGGAATAGAGAAAGATGAACAAAAGGCAGTTGAATGGTATCAAAAAGCAGCTGATCAAGACAATGATGGTGCACTATATAATCTTGGAGTGTGTTATTCTGATGGAACTGGTATAGAGAAAGATGAACAAAAGGCTGTTGAGTGGTATCAAAAGGCAGCTGAACAAGGACATGCTGGTGCACAATATAATCTTGCTTTATGTTATGATACTGGAACTGGAATAAAGAAAAATGAACAAAAAGCAGTTGAATGGTATCAAAAAGCTGCTGAACAGGGAATTTTGTATGCAATATATAATCTTGGCTGCTGTTATAATGATGGAACTGGGATAGAGAAAGATGAACAAAAGGCAGTGGAATGGTACCAAAAAGCTGCTGAACAAAGAGATGCTGGTGCACAAAATAATCTTGGTTATTTATATAGAAAAAGTATTGGCATAGAAACAGATTATCAAAAAGCTTTTGAATTGTATCAAAAAGCAGCTATGCAAGGAGATTCTGATGCACAGAATAACCTTGGTTGGTGTTATGAAAAAGGACTTGTACTTGGTGTGGATAAGAATGTTCAAAGAGCAGTGGAATTGTATCAAGAAGCAGTCAAGCAAGGAAATGTTTCTGCATACACTAGCCTTGGTTTATGTTACAAAAATGGAATTGGGGTAGAAAGAGATTTTCAAAAGGCTATTGAATTGTTTCAAAAAGCAGCTGAACAAAAACATGCATATGGACAATATAATCTTGGTTGGTGCTATGAGGAGGGAATTGGGGTAAAACAAGATGAACAGAAAGCTATTGAATTATATGAAAAAGCAGCTGAGCAAGGGTACATTAAGGCACAAAATAAGGTTTATTTTTTTAAATACAATGATAAATCCAAGTTAAAAAGAAAGATACAAGAGTTAGCTGAAATTTATCAGGTAAAAAAATAACAACTAGTTTCTATAATTATAAGGCAAATTGTTGTTGTTGTTGTTGTTGTTGTTGTTGTTTTTGTTTTTTGTTTTTTGTTTTGTTTTTTTTTGTTTTGTTTTGTGTTTTTTTTTTTTTTTTTACTTTTATTCTGGAAAACTCGTTCACTTTTGGGACGAGTACCAATATCAAACTTGTCATGGTTTTCATAATAATAATAATAAAGGATTTAATAAAGAAATCAACGTTGACAATTATGTTGACGATAAATACAAGTGTTAATGCGTTGATAAATCATTAATCGCATCCCAACAAGCATCAAAGTCATAAATTGTGTGAAGTTCGAATAATAAATTAATTATGGATAATAGGCTGAATTTTAATTTAATGATTTATTTAATTTTTCGTGTTTGGATAAAGAACTTTTCAAACTATTACACTTTTTGAACTTTGAAATTCGTAGTTAAATCACACTGGCAGCCAACTTTTTTTAATTCGATTATGAAAAATTTCTAAGCCCTAATATTTTAGGGTTAAGTTACTTCCTCAAACGTATGCACAAAGCGCTTAACTATCTTACCCGATCGCTTGTCAACTTTTAATGATAACGTCTTTGCGACGTTGATGTCCAGGGCAAAAATGTTATTTGGCACCGAGATAAGTAAGGAAACTATTAGCATTTTTTTAGAGGTCTTGTCTCTAGTTTTGCCAAACTCGTTTGTCATTCGGCTCCCGCAAGCAGTTCGGCACGTTCGTATCAAGTAGATTATCACGGGGGAGCGCTTTTTAGATGAGGCTTGGCAATCTCTACTCGTGGTTCGAGAGTTAGTGGATTTAGAACAATGTCGTTTTATTTAACTCATCTATACATGCAATACCGAGAAGAAAAAAATTACTTAGGAGACCGGTTAGTTCGTGGTAGATTGCCCCACCGCAACGCGCCGAATGGAAATTAAAAAAAAAAAAAACTTTTTCCGGCTTTTTTTGGAACACAATGAATTAATTACGTATAATCACGACCCAAAATATGATCTTACAATTACTGAATTATCGTCAGGGTATCACACCAATGAAAGTCTCAAGGAGTTGATACGCGGAGTTTGACAAATATCGAATCAGGTAACACCTTTCTAATTGCTATTGCCTTATCTTAATGTTTCATGGAGCAGCAGTCTAACAATCTTGAGAAGTCAGAGTATGGTACAAGAATTTTTTTTGATGGCATCACAATGGGAATACAAATCATGACGGGATAAAACACACAAACTGTGAAAGCAAGACTTGCTGTTAAAGATTGTGCAAACTCACGTCTATTATGACGGGTAAACAGGAATATTGACACTAATTTCTTCACACTATTACTATGCAACATATCCCTTAAATCCGTCACAAAATTGTATATTTGAATCTCGCAGAGGAAGATGATCCTCAGACACACAGTGACATGCTAATACGTTCAGAACTGTAGCAGATACGATATATACCCTTCCTAATATTAATATCTGTTTCACTCCTTGATAACATCTGGGAGGGGAAGTAAAAATAGATGCACTTAAAACCCGCCATTAAAGCGAGCAACTTGACCGTTGTATATTAATATTGCAAACCATTGAACAAGGTTGATTACTTTGACACAGGCGATTCTTGTGCTACTACTTTATTACCCTCAATTGAAAGACGCTCATCGCCCAAATTTTTTATAAAGTTGAAAAAAACCGAGTTCCTGAATTTTGGATTTGTTTCCTCACTCACAGTGTCCATCAACTTCCTGGCGGTTCTTGCAAGTTCAGTTTTAGCATCTCCAGAAGTAGATTCTTGTTCTTGGAATTCAGATGCCCATGATGATTCTTGTGTCTGAAATTCCGATTGCCAAACCGCACCTGGAATAAATTACAACATCAAGAAAAGGTATTATTAGGCAACAATACTGTGTCAACAGTAAGATGACACTAATAACATCCGTCAAATTAAGCTGCAAATTCAAGCCGATATTTCGCTCCATTCTTACGATTTTCCGCTTCCTCAAACGCTTTTTCAAATGCTGCGGCCTCGTCGGGATCGATCCTCGTGGGTGGTGATGTAAACTGGGCAAAATCCTCAGCCCAACTACCTATTTCAAAATGAAGTGGTTTAAGCATATCTAATCAAACTCATACTAGTGGTGTTCAAGAAAGACAAATAATCCACATATATGACTCTGTCGATTTGGTGAACGACTGAAAAAGATTATAACTGGTACCGATGCTTCCGAAATTCCGACCTTAATCTTATCGAGAACCTTGGAATACAGTTAAAAGGTTGTGGAGAGCATAAGCCGAAGAATCGTTGAATCAGATTATGATGCAAAAAAATAGAATCAAGCCCAAAAATGTTGTTATAGTATTTAACAGATTCTGTACGAGTCGACGTGAATTATAGACCAGCCTTTTTAGACGAAGTTTAAGGGGCAATGTGTGATGAGTTAGAGCGATATATCTTTTTTGCACCTTTTGTCTTTTTGAACACCACCGCATATTCCTTATGCCCTGAAACCTTTCAACAAGAAATCAAAATAAAACGACTCATGCCTTGAGCATTCCTAAATGCGTTTTCAAAATCGTCATATATTGGGTCATGAGCAATTATGCTAGGTTCTTCGTTTGGTCGCCCCAGGAATTCGGATACCCAGGCGGCGTTGGAGCCTTCCTGTGTCGGTTGATACATTGTTGATAATTCTTGGTTCATGTGATTAAATTGAAAAGTGTTTTCTTGTGGATTGAAGGGTGGAGGTTGGTGGGTTGCGTCGAGAAAGAAGTCATTTGCAAGCTTTTGGATTGAGATTGTGAGTGAGCGTGAATGAGATAAGTTATTAAAATCTCTCCAACACATAAAAAAATGTTGAATAAGACATTAAACTCACCTCATGATCCGTTACTGATGCTTGGTGAAAGTGTGCACGAAATGCCTATGATAAAAAGCGTTAACAATTTTGATCTACCTCCTCGGTTAAGCGAGCGATCCATGTCAGTAAGTCAGATCAGACTTACCGATTTCGACGATCCCTCTCCCACAGCTTCTCTCCTGACTAAATCCTACTATTCCAACAAACGGTTAGAATACATTTTTGCCGATTGCAAGCCATTGCTTGTCTACAGAGGATCTAACCTGTGTTAGTGACTGGTCCTGTTCAAACTGTTTCAACAATTCTAATGCAGGATTGGCAGGGCCGCAGTCGGCATCGCCAGACACAAGTTGCCGAAGTGACATGAGTAGTATATGGGTTGGGGTTGCGATTGTGTAGACTGGGAAAACAGAAATACGTTCACTAATTCTAATACTAATGGTTTGAGATTCACGTGATACGAGATATCAAAATGAAGGCACAGATGAGATAATCATATAACTTGGTGTGCGATATGCTTAATTATTTAATATTAACACTATCAATTGATAGTACTTTACATAGGACACGAAAAGTCAGCCGTGAAATATTAACCGAGAAGGCCATTTACATAATAATAAATTGATTTGTAGTTTACGCGGTGACCCAATGATTAACGTTTAATATTAATACAAAACGATATTTATTAGCTTTTTGCACTACCCTCATAATAATCGTGATGAACATCACGAGCCAATTGTCTGGTAGTAGACCATAACTATTTACTGCTAGTAAATTTAGTTTACTTAGCCGGTGCATAGAAAACGACTCTTTCAGCGAGCGATAACCCTGCCCTCGCAACTACTTACGAAACTATACCAGAACAACAACTGATATACAGTAATTCCTTAATCGAAGAAGAAAAGCGATATTAATATTACTTCGATTTGTCGGTTAGGAACGTTCCTGAATTGATCCTCAGCCGCTCTTGAACGAATATCAAATATATATTTCGCTACTGATTGTAGTGTCCTATTTAATTATGAACCTTTAAATAATTGCGTTTAAATAATTTCGGCTACGAAACTCTGTTCGGCTCGGCTATGATTTTATTACCTATTGAGATACATGAACGCGGTAATTGCAAAGATATAGCCAGTGATAACTCTTGGTCTTCTCAAAAAGATAATCAGTTATTACGACAAGGAAAAACACAAAGCTTAGAAGACATTGTTTGGAGTCAAGGATACATGAAAGATTTAGCGCAGGAAAAAAGAAAAATATTTAGTTGAAGCTTTAGTAACGAGGAATAAAAGAAACGGTTAAAAAAATGGGAAAATTATTTGACTTTCTGCTTTACCGGAAGCATGAAAAACAAGTACAGTCAGACCCTATCTCATCCCCAAAAGTGTATGGAGGTGTGACTGTATAAAGGATTTCTCATTATGTCATGTGATTATGCTTTTGACTATTTATTATTATATTAATATGCACTGTTGTCTTACTAAAGTAACAAACATGGTTGCTTAATGTTTATTATTATTGCTAGTGTAAAGAACTCATAGTAATGTAAATGAATAAAGCAAAAGCATTTCATTATTATATTGATTTTTGGTTGCTGTGAGCATAGCAAGTTTAGGAAGCAGAGTTGGGTTACAATATTAATATATCATAAAATTTAAGTCACGTGAAGTGACTGTAATAGTAATAGTAAAGGGGTCGATTTACTATCTCAACAAGTGTGATAGTGATATGTGACTCTAGGGGGATTTTACTATTGCAAGATTCCGTTCCGCAAAAGTCTGTGATGTAGGGGTGGTGTGACAAGTGGTGTGACTGTAGGGGGAATTTTGGAACGGGTAAAAACTGTTAGGGGATATAGAACGGGTACGTACCAACTAACACATTGTACTTAGTACAGCCTTATTCTAAAAGGACAGTCGATATATCACATAGCAGATCAACAAATTTATGCATGTTCGTTGACGTAGTACAAACTAAAAGTGGCTTATGTCACGATAATTGCCAAGAACAAGGCCTGGAAGAATGTAGATCCAAATTTGCAAACCGCATTGTGTTACATTGTGTTACATTGTGTTACAATTTCTAAACTGGTTGGCGCAGAAAACTCTAAAGCATTATTTAATGAGATATGTTGTAAATGTCTTATAACTTGGACGTGTTTGGATTTCAAAGATGTCCGTTCTTTATCTGATTCGTGCATACAATATTTTGTGTGTCAAGACCTTTCAATGGCGAAACATTGTTATTTATAAGCTGCGGCCATTATAATAACTAAATTTGGCTTGTCTTACAAAAATAGCATTGAAATTGAAATGTATTAATATTAACGTGTTCCCAGAGGAAAAGAAAAAAGAAAAAACGTCTTTCTCTTGGTGGTTGTAAAGAAATCGAAAAAATGGCCACTGTGGATTCCGTGTTTAGTGTAGCGGATGGAGTCACCGCGATGAGTGAAATAGCACAGACTTCTGGTGTTGACCTGCTCAAGAAATTTGGCTCGGCTGTTTCAGTTGCAGGCGACGCCGTCAAACCTTTTCTCCCATTAATAGCAGTCGTCACAGTAACCATCACTGAAATCATAAGAATATATGATACAGCTCAGCATAACAAAAGAATGTGTGGAGCCATGCATGACCGAGTGATTATGGCGCAAGCTGCCATTAAGTTACTCGAGCGTCGACAGAAAGAGAACGAGGAAAAGTTTAAGCAGCAGAATTATTATGATGCTTTTTTGAAATTTGTAGCTTTGCTTAAGAAAATCAGGGATTTTCTTCAAGATGTGAGTCAACTTAAGGGATTTAAGAAGTTTAAAGAAGCTAGTGCCGTGGAGATTATGTTCACCAAATTAGCGTCAGATTTCGACTCTACCATGAGCTTGCTGCATTTTGCAGTCGCCATTTCAACCGAAGACCAACAGAAATTGGACAGAGAGGCTGTTACAAAAGACTTGGAGGATATAAAAAATGTAAGTCTATGAATGTGTTTTTGCCGTTTCTCTTATGCTGACATGATTACTACCAACACAATACTAATGATTTTCTCTTTCTATTCTTTGACAGTATCTAGACAATATCGCCGGTGGTATAACGACCATGGATCATAAAATTAGCTCGGTGCTCGAGGAGATATCCATCATAAAGGACAAAGTAGCGGCCAATAAATCGGTGGACAAATTGAGTAGTACTTACGAAATACCACCTGAGGACTTAAATGATCCATTCGATCCTCGTGCTAACGATAGTCGTGACAAGGATATTACAAGAAAACTTTATAAGTTTCAGGAGGTCGCCGTAAAGAAACTTGCCTTACCCGATAAAAAGACAGATGACGGATTGAAGGTTGCCAAGGAGCTTACAATCTTGAAGTCTTTGCAAGAGGGACAACGAATTATAAAATTCTACGGAACTTCAGTAGTCGATGGTACTCCCGTAATGGTATTTGAATGGGCAGAAAAAGGATCTTTGAAAGATTACTACTCTGTCACGAAACCTGTTGACTTTCCATGGGAATTGAAATTGAAATTAGCTTTGGACATTTGCCGTGGTATTGCTTTTCTTCATGAGACTAGGTACTTGCATCATGACATTCGCTGTCAGAACGTGTTGGTCAGTATTTCCTTTGGATATTATATTTCTTGTTTTTTTTCTAAGGACGCTAGATGTTTTATTATTATTGCCAGGATTTATCGCAATCGAATCCTACCCTAACCGATATTATTGATTTAGTTGACAGACGATTTTGTAGCAAAGCTTGCAAACTTTAAGCTTAGCCGGGGATTCAATGATAAATCAACTGCGATAAAGATATTTGATCATCTTCCCTGGTTAGCCCCTGAGAAATTAAGGGTATTAGGCAGGGAAGATAAAGAAAGAGTCCCGTATACTCAGAAATGTGAAATCTATAGTTATGGCATGCTTCTTTGGGAACTTGGACACCAGAGAATACCGTACAAGGGCATGACTCCGAACCAAATTGAAGCACATGTCTTGGCTGATAAGCGAGAATCTTTCCAATGGGATCTTGGTCAACTCCAACAGGGATACACCAAGATAATTCGTGATGGTTAGCATCGTGTTGATCTCGGGTTTATGATAATTAAATTTATGAAAAATAACATATTCTTTATAAATCGTTTATTAGCCTGGCAAGGAGAGCCACGACTGCGTCCAACTATTTCCGAACTATTTTTGGAACTCAACAAACTTCAGAAGAAACATTTCCCAGATGCGCGTACTCCAAATTTCAAACCGGCTACTCCACCGGCTGTAGAAATTTCTGCACTAAGTCTAGATACGCCAGTCCTTGGTGACACTTACAAAAATGCAGGAGATTCTCCTCATAGGAAATCTGTCTCTCTGAATCTGCCTAGCTGTGATTTACCGCCTGAATTCGAGTTTGAATTGTTTGTTCCCGTCGAGGAAATTATTTCTCTGGATGAAGGCATCACGGCACATAGAACCAACGATAAAGAGAAAGCTTGGAAATGCTTCGAGGCTCACGCCAAATTGGACAATCCCCAGGCTATATATTGGAAAGGATACTACTTATGGGAAGGATACGTTGTTGCAAAGGATAGAAAAAAAGCAGCCGAACTGTTCAAAAAGGCTGCTGATGATGGTATTGCAGATGCTCAGTTACGATATGCATTCTGCATGGTCAACAGCGAAGGAATCAAGTTTGATAAAGAACTGTTTATGCATTATTTGATCCTTTCTGCTGATAATGGAAATCCGTCAGCACGTTATAACCTGGCAGATGTTTATTTGAACGGAAAGTTGGGCATTCCAAAGAATGAGCAAGAAGGCGTGAGGTATTTGAGACTTGCAGCTCTCAAGGATCAGCCAAAAGCACGGGACATGTTAAGGGCTTTGAAGGAAAAGGGTGTAGATGTTGGGGATCTTAATGACCTTTAACGCGCCAAGAGGATACCGCTGATATGCATATACTTGTTTGTTTATTTATTTATAGCATTGTATATATGTGTTACGGATCGTCAAATAAAAAATTGATTTAGATCTTCCGAGAAATACCGTCAAAAGTGTACATACTCGACACACTAACTAATTACCTCTGCTGTTTTAACGAATAATATACTGTATTTTGTCACTTGACAAATTATTGGTTTATAATTGTTGAAGGACTTGCTAAAAAGCCACGTCTCTAAAACACTAATTCCAATAATGATGATATAAAGTGCGAAATACCACCTTCCATGAATAACGGTTTAAGATAACTTCCGATTGGCCTTCTCAATCTCCCAATTGAGCATGTGCAGCGATGTTCTGTGCATCAAAAACTGATCTGCAAACTTTACCAAACTTATACAAGCAACATTAAGATCAGTATTGTAATGCTCAATTAAAAATAAAAATGATTTCTTTTCTTTTTTTTGCTGGCCAGACATTTTCTGAGTGGCAATATTTGAACGTCGCATAAAGACATTTCCGTACGAATCTCGGCGGCTCGAAGCATTTTCATAGCAAAGAGATAGATAACTTGCGCGCGTCAAAGCATTTGATCAGGTTTATTAGATCTCAACCTTAGAGAACGCAAACTCCCGTAGTTCACATCAGATGTATCAAATTATACTTTTTCCGTAGTAGTTTCAAGTTGTAATCATTTCAAGTTACGCTAACATTTTGCACTTAAGCTAAGAATTGATTTTAATCGAGCTCTCGTATCGTTTTTGCACTTGAAATAAAAGACTACCGGAGACTCTCATGCCGAATGAAGGAGGAAAGAACACGATCGACTTCGTATGTTGATAAGAAAGTAAAGGAGATCTGACGGAGTATCGAGTATTTAAATTTTCACTAATATGGCTAGCCCTTGGGCACATGATCATCACCTGATAAGAAGAGCATATTTTAGTCTTCTTTCAGTACTCGCCTTTCACAGATCTGGATTCTGGATTCTCTAATATTCTGTCTCCCGCTTGTCGTTAAGGCCTCATTCTGCCCCATTCTCCTAGCTTAGTATACTTTACACCCTGCCATCATGGCCACGACAGCAGATCTGCGACAGCTTCTCGAGAGATCTAGACTTCTTGCAAACAGCATATCGCATCAGACGGATTTGCCGTCAATCGAAAGAAACTTAGAGCAGATCGAGGCGCAATCGCGTAGACTGGCAAGTAGAGTTACGAAACCAGGTGAATCACCTGAACGCAGAGCGTATGTATTTTAGAGGAGAGAAAGGGACTGCGGCTTGAGAAGGTTGTAAAATAGCTGGGGGAAATTAAAGAAAGGGGGGGGGGTAATCAAGACTAGATTGAGATCAACAAAATTAAAATGACAACAAGAACGAAAAGTTGAAGGTGTAACTATGGCATTAGTAAAATTTTAATTGTGGGTTTATGAGAATTAATGGGACTTGTAATGTTAATTATCTTAATTTAACATATTTTCGCAATATGATTGTAAACTTTTCATACCGGATAATAAAACGAACGAATGACCATACAGTCCATATTTTTTGGCGGGAATTGGTATCGATGGAGAAAGACTTACCGAAAACGTTAAAGGAATCAAAGTACTCAACGCGTTTGAGCCGCGCGAAATATTGGCAGATACTGACATCACCGTGAGTTATTATTATATACATACATCATGCACGCAAACATACGCAGACACTGCAAGTACGCAACATTCAACGTAAACGGCTCAGAGTCAAATTCTAATCTCATGCTATATTTTCAATCAATCTCATAACGCACTTAGAGCTACTTGGAGCACAAGTACAAGCAAACAGTCACTAGTGTTATAGCAGATGGGCGAGAACAGGTGCCATTTTTTTTGTTTATTCAATTCGAGTCTTGTATTGTCATCTAATTCTTATTTTGTCATGAACTTTGTCAAGACTATGCGAGATTACCAGGAGAACTTTGAAAGAGCAATACGGATTGATTGGGAAAAAATGAAACGACGCGTTTTTGAAGAGTTAGGACAGTATAAACCATCATCGAGAACATCTGGCATGGACACGGCTGGCTATATGGGAACTATAGGAACTCCATACCCTCAAAGAGTATCAGCAACACCTGGTGGTATGACGCCGGCCAGGGCGCCTATCGAAACTCCTTCGGTTTGTTTCGAGGATTATTGATTTTGGCTCTCGAGTTGCGCTCGTACATTGCCTTATTAACTCCTTGTTTTAGAGAACGCCAGCGACAATAGCGAGAGATCGTCAATCAGTGTTGCAACGGTCAGAATCTCGGCTTCAAATGAATCAGAGAATGATGCTATACTATGACGTGGTACGAAGACTGAATGAGCATCGGTTACAAAAACGTGATTTCGGAATCATTCATTCGTTTTATGAAGTGGCAAAGAAGATCGGAATCGAATCTGTAAGACACTAATTTTTTATACCTTGTATATTGCGCTGCATGTCATTGTTGAGTTTATGCTAGCATGTTTTTAACGAGGCTTTTGATTCTTGGCCATTCACATTTCTAGAAACAAAGGATATTGCAAGGATGGAGAGCATTATCGATGATTGTTGGAGAGAAAAATGTACTTGAAGGTCGATTTCAGGGTATCCCACTGAAAGAGCGACAGTTTGCAAAAGCGTATAATGCTCACCCAGAATCCAGGCATGCTGCCAAGCTGCGTGAAGAACATGTAGCGGGAGCAAGGCATTATTTGGAATTGGAGTATCCTTTGCCCATTTTGTAAATTTATAGTTGCTATGTAGAGTCTGCCCATATTGGTTCTTAACACTTGAGCGTCTGAAGATATAACGAATGGTGTCAGCAGTTTATAGAACATTATAGGACTGAAGCACAATTAGGTGGAGTACCAAGTGTTGTGCATACAGCACGCGCCTTTTTACGTGCATATCATCGACAAAATGGGGGGGTTTCAATGACATCCATGGATGTAGGTGATCTTATATTTGTGTACGTTTAATGAACGTTTGCGTATACTGAACATGTTTCATTTTTATAATTTAGACATTCGAAGGGATTCCTCTTTGGGGACTAATATTCAACTTGACAAGGCGCGGGGAATTAGTAGAAGCTTTAAATGTGGCAAGAAGTTTAGAAAAATGCATAAATAAGAATGATCTTGTTTTCTTAAAGTACTTTGATGAATATGTGAATCACAAACGGTACATGGCCATGTCTTCTTTCTGCTATATGTTTAAAAGAAATTTTTATGTGTTATAACTAACGTTCTTGCTTGATTTAGTCTAAGTAAGAATTCTCGAGACCAACTAATGGCAGAACTCAAGAAGAGAGATTTGTTTAAACAGATGGAAGATCCATACAAAATAGTAATGTTATATTTGGTCGCGCAAGTCAACTTTGGCAATGCTTCTTCTCTATCAAAATCTGTTATACGAACAGTAGAAGATTACCTATGGTTCAAGGTGAGTCTATTTGTTCGTTTATATGCGAGCTTTTCCTTTTCACTTAAACTTTAAATTTCCTTCACTTTAACTCAATCTTCGCTCGATTGCTCATTCTTTTCCCCCAAAACGCAGCTCGCAATAGTGCGCGAACCGCCCGAAGGCCACTCCCGAGAGCCATCTCACGAAGTATATACGATCCGCGATTTACAGAAAGAGATAGCTCATGACGAAGTTTCGGATAACGGCGGCGTGACAAAGGACTTTGTGAATCACTTCCGGTTACTGTTGTTGTCAGGACAGTTTGAGAGAGCTGTTTTCTATTTACACCAGACTGAATGTGATGTTGAAGCTGTGCATTTTGCTATCGCACTGGCTTATTATGGTTTATTACGAGTTCCAGAGACGCAGGATGCCGTTTCTTTATGTGAGTAGGCATGTTTATTTATTCTGCGTGTTATGCTCTCTATGACATTTTGTTGATTCTATACCTTTTTTCTTCGTTTACTGTCAGTTTTAGAAAAGGACGAGCAGGCATATCTCAACTTCAATTCTTTGATGTACTTTTACCCACAACGCTTCTCACAAACTAACCCACGTGAAGCGCTTCAATACACTATTCTCATGTATTTATATGGAGATATGGAAACCGAATTTGGGCGACAGCAGATAGAGATAAGCCATGATTACGTTAGGCAGCTCGTCTATGAGAATCAGGCATTCAGCGAGTTAATCGGGAGTACTGTGCTAGGCACGGTAAGTGGTTAGGCGAAGAGGTTAGAGGGAAATAATAGCGACTTTGTGGGGAAGTGCTAACTGTCTGTATTTATGGTTTCGGGACGGTTTTTTAGGAGGGCGAGATTAAGAGGTTTACGCCATTGATATTCTTGAGGACAGAGTATGACTTTAAAGATAAAATCATCAAGCCTCTTGCGCGGCAGTGTGAAGGTGACGGGAGGTTTAAAGCTGCTGTTAGCCTGTTTGAGTTAATTCAGGTGAGTTATATAATAAGTTTAAATCTGACATCATTGGCATATTCAAATAAAAACATCAACCACCGATTTTTTTCTCTCTTCATAGGACTACGAGATGATCATTGTAATCTTAAATAGGATGCTTGGTGAATATATCTATAACAAGTTGCACAAAATAACTCTTTCAAAGGAAGACCTAGAGGAATTGAATCCAATAGACATTAAAGCTATTTTTGAAAGATACGAGGCACAGACTTTTATTGGCCAGCAAGCATATCCAAATCGAGTGCAAGATTGCAGGAACTTGATCAAGATAACTGATTTTATGCTATTATATGAAAACAAAGATCATGGCAAGGCCATGGACGTAAGTATTCGAGGGGGGAACAGTTGGCGATGTTATCTCATTTCCATTTATCATTATTAAATTTTTCCATATTGCTGATGTTTATTTAGTTGATCGAGGAGGTCGATATTATTCCGTTGGATGGAGATATTAACAGAGTTGCTCGATGTGCAAATCAGCTCTTGATGTATGATGATTCGTTAAAAAGGAATATACCCGACATTATGTTAATGGTTATGCAGAATATGCATGATTATTACGTTCATTTGAAAACAACTGTCACTTCACACACGCTGTATAAGAATGATGACGCGTATTTGGTAAGTAGCATAATACGTAGGGAACGGGGTGTATTAAGCATTGTGAAAAAATTGGTATTGAAGTTGTCTTCGGTGCTATATTTAGAAAATGGAACATCTACAGAGAAAAGCGCGTAACCTCGTCCATTTTGCTGGATATGTAAATGTCAAGTAAGTATCCAACATCAATTTGAATATTATTTTGTGCTTGGAGTTACCATACTAAGTAGAATTCCTTCATCAGGGTTCCTCCAAACGTCTACAGTCAACTGAATACTCTGGAAGTCTCGATGCGATAATGTTGATTAAAAGTCTGTTACAATTTATCCTAATAAATAAATACATAATAGAAATGATCCAGATATAAGTGGATGAGGAGATCATATTTATATATAGCTGTTACTTTTCTGAATATGCTAAAACAAGGCCTTCCGAATTGCGTAGAAAGACTATCGCTATGCTCGTTAATACCGAATAAAGTTAATGTTAAACTGGATTCCTCTCGTCTATTTTATGATGAGCAAGCAGAGTTGAATTAATCAGACAAGTATCAGTTGAAAGTGCAAGTATAAGCAACTATCCGGGAACACACACACACACTCTCTCTCTCTCTCGTGCGAGATTTCCGTAAAACAATTGACGAACGAGACGGCGAACATAGCTATTGGCGCAGTTATCGGCATAGTTATCTGATAGAAAATATTTGTAGCCATTCTTATTGTCAGCTTCACGCGATTCGTTTACTATTCACGATGAACATGTGAATTGTAATTAAATTCATTGCACAACCCAGAATTTGCTAAACTTAAGTAGCCTTTTCGGCGTCAATAAATAAAGCAAAAAAAAAAACAAAAAAAACAAACGATTTCACGAGCTAGTCTATAAAATGTATTAAATTTGGTAAACAATATTAATACGTGCTCATTGTCACCGTATGATTTTAGTTGGATCGATTATCTGTTATTCATAGGCCAAGAAGTCGTAATCTTTTTCTTTTCGTCTTAACGACCTTTCCCTTGTCAGCTAAACTATTGCAAATTGGCCCCACCCCATGTCCTTACCCAACCAAAAATGGTATTATTCAATGATGACGTTAAATTTAGCAAATATTTAATAGTGAACACTACCGATTTGTGTTACTATATAATGTGACGAATAAAGAGCCGGCGCGAATCTCCTTATAGATATATTGGAGACGCTAAGCCTTGCTGCATAGATTCTGGTTTACGGCGCACATTTGATTATCATAAACTTTTGGGAGAACATCCTCTTCTGTCTTGACCGTTTTTTACGATGGCGTCATTTCAGGGTCTTTATGCACAGACAATAATATCACGCTTCAAGACGTCTTGTTAAATTTCTCAATTGTGTATTATGCAGCAAACACTTCATAATTATCTGCCCGTTAATTACGATATCCTTAAAAATAGATCGTGACTTCCGTATATGGTTTGCCTCGTTTCACAAAATATGATAACAGGCTAATTTTCTGCACAGTTAATTCACAATCCTGCAGGCCTTTGTTTGGCCAACTATTTCTGTAAACGCAATGTCCGTCAATGGAAACCAGTAAACCTTGTTCGTTTTAACCATTTGTCTCTTTTCTTAAAGAACGCCAATTTCCCCGGGAAAATGTCGGTTTATCCGAAGACGCATGTTGTGGTATCAAAGCAAAAGTCTTAAACACTTTCTGCGTCATTATGATTATTTCTTAAGTCAACGTACGTTCCGATGCAGGATAAAATACAAGTTTATGACGTATTCGAGCATTTAAGAACATCTGGACCAAATGTTTCTGATTTGCTCATAACAATTTGTTTTTTGTTTCTGTACATCGAGCATTGAATGGAAGTTGAGAAAAGGCTACTGCAACAAATCGAATATAATGAATATGTATAACTTGCTAAGGGTCAAAAAACATATTTAAACAGGTCAACGTCTACCTTCTAAATCTCACCAAGCAAGATTAATTAGCTTGTCAAATTTAATCCTTCACTTCGGAGAAATCAAATTATAAAATTTCGAGATGGCTTTCCCCAAATTCCTAAGACTTTTGGCTATTCTTGTTGTAATGTTTGCGGCCTTGGCTATTTGTAGTCCAACCTCAAATTTGAATAAAAGACTCCATGGTGCTGTCCTTCATGTCCCAGCTCCAGGCTCCGGTCCGTGGGCTATCAAATCTATCCAGAATGTCAGTTGGTGGTGTATTAAGTGTAGTTCAGCAGGTATTATGCGCATACTGACGTTGGTTATTTTGGAAATGTTTTGAAACAAGTATTAATAAATTTTGTTTCCAAACAGACTCGGTAATTATTGAAATTATCAAAAACGGTAGAAACGGTAAAACTGTCGTATTTACCACAACGGTAAGTTTGTCAATCTGCTAAATAATTTGAAATCAATAATTATCCTATTCCTTATTGCTAAATTCGAGTGGTTTTTAAAAAAGGGTGTAAATGCCAATTCCGGTACGAAGGACTTTGTAGTTGATCCAAAGTGGGCTACTGTTGGTGATAAATTCTTTGTTAGAGTAACCGATAAACAGCATCCAAATGTTTCTGGAAAGAGTTCGACATTTACAGTTTTTAAAACTCAAGGATAAGTAAGCAGTTTACAATTGGTTTGGGAGGATGGTAAAAGTCACGAGACTCAATTTGCGTGATCGAATATCGCAATTCTTTTATACGAGCAAATTTCTTTTTTTCGTAAACATGTAGCTTTTTTCCCCCCTCGGTTTGACTTTATTTAATAAATTGATAACATGGTACTACTACAAGCGTGTTTGGCACCTTGCTTTGATTATGAAGGGTGATTTGTAAAAGCGTACAGTTGTGCGGAAGTTTGACAATCGTATTCATCTATCTGATCACAAATACGTGGTATATTAGTTCTAATTTGAGCGCGCTACTGAGGATAAAACTTAATCTGTAACGCTGTGACATTGTTAATTAGTTAAGCACCAACATGGTAAGCGACCCTCCGTCAGAATGTCCATCCTCAGCGTATGTAGGACGTACAGATTATTTGAAGCTTAATATAGCAAATAATTTGCTTGGCTTCACCATTTACTAATTGACGTCCATCTTTAAATGCTACTAACACTAATATTAACAAATCTACGAATTCCTTAAAAATAACTGTCAAAAATAGATCATAATTTGTGTTTACTTTGTTGGTTGGTCTCGTTTCACAAGGTTAGATGCTAATTTTGAAATGTTTGTTACACTTTTTATTTGCGGGCCAAATATCAAATATTCGACTCAACGGAAACGGGTAAAACCCAATTTGTTTTAACCTTTCTTCTCTCTTTCTTAAAGAACGCCAAGATTCCTGAGAAAATGTTGGCTCGCCCGAAGACGATGTTATTGGATAAACGCTACATCAAAGCAAAATATTAAACACCTTTTGCGCCATTAAGATCATCTCATAAGCTTAGGAGAATGTGCCAGTGCATAATTAATGCAAGTTTATGACGTATTTGAGTGAGCATTTGGTTTGCTCACCTAAGAAAACGATGACAAATTACTGATTTTGCTTATAACAATTTATTCTTTGTTTCTGTACGCCGAACATTGAAGGAAGGGATGCTGTAACGAAATTAAAGATGGTAATATGTATAACTTGCTAGGGTAAAAGCAGTACAAACAAAAAACTTATTTAAACAGGTCAGTGACTACCTCCTAAAACCTCATCAAGCAAGATTAATTAGCTTGTCAAATTTAATCCTTCGCTTCGCTTTGCAACATCATATCATAAAATTTCGAAATGGCTTCTTTCAAATTTCTAAGACTTTTGGCTATTCTTGCTGTAATGTTTGCGGCCTTGGCTATTTGCGCTCCTCCTCCCGTTATGCATGTCCCAGCTCCAGGCTCCGGTCCGTGGGCTATCAAATCTATCCAGAACGTCAGTTGGTGGTGTAATAAGTGTAGTTCAGCAGGTATTATGCGCATACTGACTTTGGTTATTTTGGAAATGTTTGAAAGTATTAATCAATTTTTTGTTCCCAAACAGACTCGGTAATTATTGAAATTATCAAAAACGGTAGAACTGTCGTATTTACCACAACGGTAAGTTTATTAATCTGCTAAATAATTTGAAATCAATAATTATCCTATCCCTTGTTGCTAAAATCGAGTTTTTTTAAAAAAGGGTGTAAATGCCAATTCCGGTACGAAGGACTTTGTAGTTGATCCAAAGTGGGCTACTGTTGGTGATAAATTCCTTGTTAGAGTAACCGATAAAAATGTTTCCGGAAAGAGTTTGAAATTTACAGTTTTTAAAACTCAAGGATAAGTAGTTTACAATTGGTTTGGGGGAGATTTTGGCACACTATCTTTTCCTTCTTTGGTAAAAGCCACGAGACTCATTTGCGTAATCGAATTCTTTTATACGAGCGAACTCCTTTTTCGTAAACATGTAGCTTTCCCCCCCGGTTTGACTTTTTTAATAAATTGATATCTTGGTAATATTTACAAACGTGTTCGGCACCTTGCTTTGATTATGAAGAGTGATTTGTAAAAGTGTACAGTTGTGCAAAAGCCGGATTTTCTTGACAATTGTATTCAATTATCTACTCTACTACAAGCCATGGATATATTGGTTCTAATTTGAATTATTGCAGCATTATATTGTCTGTCTTCTTATAGTATTTGATTGTCGAGAACACGTTGTAGGGTACATAATAGCATATTTGCATGCTATTGAGGATAAAGCTTAATCTGTAAAGAGGAACATTGTTTAATTAATTAAGCAAACGAAGACATGACTAATATAGTAAGCGATCTAGAATGTCCATCCTCTCGGTAATTAACACATTTACGTATGTAGGATGTACAGATTATTTGAAGCGAATATAGCAATTAATTCGCTTAGCTTCACTATTTACTAATTTGACGTCAATCTTTGTCTGGATAAATTTCCCAATTGCATTTCTGAGTTTTGTGTAGGCTTTTATTGTTCAGTGACGAGTATTCTATGCTTCGTATTGCACGTTGCATTTTTACTGTCTACTCATTGTCTAAAGGTGTATTCCCTTCAACAGTGGAATACAATTGATTCTGGACCATTTTAGGGCCTTCCTGCATTAAGAAAACATACGACAGAATGTTCTAATTGGTGCTGATGCGTTAACAATATCATACTGGTAAACACGTCGTATACCAAAATAGATCATGATTTATTGTACTCTCGGATGTTTACTTGTTGGTTGGCCTCGTTCCACAACCACAAAGTAATAAGCATGCTAATTTTGAAATGTTTGTAAAACACAATATCTGTCAGCGGAAACCGGTAAAACCTAATTTGTTCTAACCTTTCTTCTCTTTTCCCTTAAAGAACGCCAATATCCCCCTGGGAAAATGTTGGTTCGTCCGACGACGCATATTATTGGATAAACGCTTGCATCAAAGCAAAATCTTAAACATCTTTTGCGTCATTACGATTATCCATAAGCCAACTCTCTTAGAAGAATGTGCCAGCGCATAATTATAATACAAGTTTATGACGTATTTGAGCATTTGGTTTGCTCGCCTAAGAAAACTATGACAAGTTACTGATTCGCCTATAACAATTATTCTTTGTTTCTGTACGCCGAACATTGAAGGAAGCGAAATTAAAGATAGTAAATATGTATAACTTGCTAGGGGTTAAAAACAGTACAAACAAAAAACTTATTTAAACAGGTCAGTGACTACATCAAGCAAGATTAATTAGCTTGTCAAATTTAATCCTTCGCTTCGCAACATCATATCATAAAACTTCGAAATGGCCTCTTTCAAATTTCTAAAACTTTTGGCTATTCTTGCTGTAATGTTTGCGGTCTTGGCTATTTGTAGTCCAGCCTCAAATTTGAATAAAAAACACGATGTTTGTCCTCCTCCTCCTATTATGCATGTCTCAGGTCCGGCCGGTCGGGTTGCTATTAAATCTATCCAGAATGTCAGTTGGTGGTGTAATGAATGTAGTCCAGCAGGTATTATACGCATACTGACTTGGTTATTTTGGAAATGTTTGAAACGTATTAATAAATTTGTTTCTAAACAGACCCAGTAATTATTGAACTTATTAAAAACTGTAAAGATGTCTTATTCAAGAGAAGGGTAGGTTTATTAATCTGCTAAATAATTCGAAATCAATAATTATTTTATCCTTGTTGCTAAAATCGAGTAATATTTAAAAAAAGGGTCGAAATGCCAATTCCGGTTCGGAGGACTTTGTAGTTGATCCAAAGTGGGCTACTGTTGGTGATAAATTCCATTTTAGAGTAACCGATCCGGTTATACCTGTTTCTGGAAACAGTTCGAAATTTATAGTTTTTAAAATTCAAGGGTAGATTTTGCATTAGTTGGGGAAATTGTTGGCGCGTTATCTTTTCCTTTTGGTAAAACTTAATTTGCGTAATCGAATATCGCAACTCTTTTATGCGAGTTTCGTAAACCTGTGACTTTTCTCTCTCGGTTTGACGCTATTTAATAAATTAATGATGTCATGGTAATATTTACAAACATATTCGGCGCCTTGCTTTGATTATGAAGAGTGATTTGTAAAAGCCATACAGTTGTGAGCAGGATGTCAGCAAAAACAGGACTTTTGGCAATCGTATTTACCTATCTACCTACCTGCAAACCACGGGTTATTAGTTCTAATTTGATAATCACAGCAAGATTATACTGATATTTGATTGTTGAGAAGCACATTGTATAGCATAATTTGCGCGCTACTGAAGATAAAACTTTACCTGTAAAGTTGTTTAACTAGTTAAGCACTAAGATGGACCGGAATGTCCATATTAAGGTAATTAACATCCAACTTACTGACTATTGATTGTTTACATTGTATATCACGTGAATACAGCAAATGCGTAGTCAACCTCGTTAATCCGAAGTCAACGGGACCGAGGCTTAAGTTCGGATTAATATTAACGGCGTCTTCGGATTAACGAGTTTTGTTTCTCAATAATCCAAACACTCAATAATTATTCGGTTACAATTTATTATTTAGTAATTATTATCACAACGTACACAAAATGGGTTCTACACGCTTCCACCTGCTAACAACTGATTATGTCGTCTCGCTTTAAGGTGTCAATATGTAATTATCGCTTATTTGAAATTTCAAGCACTTTAACTGTTCGATGTAACTTTCTGAGATCGACTACAAGACAGTGATCGATGTCGAATGTATATTCTCATCTAATAAATCTTAAAATGTTATCGATGCTTTTCTCGTATTCTTCACATGACTTTAATGTTTCAACGCCTGTGTCAATTTCTATAATGTCTTCGTCAGTTGGTATTCTCTCAGATTCTCCACGCATATAACTATCTGTTTGAACCTTCATCCAACCGAGTAAATTCTCCAGCGTTTGCAACGAATAACTCAAATAATTAAGCCAACGCTAGTACGTAGTTAACGTGTAGGTAATGTCGATTGATTGACTTTTCTCTAATAACGCGCTTAATAAAATATGCTAAATATTAAGACTAATTTATCTATTTTCAATGGTGTTTTTGTAAATGCAATAAATTGTCAGGGATAGGTCGACTCTCATTGTGAGCTAACAATAGTAAATCCACTATCGGGTTGCTGCTGTATATGAGGATGTCGTGGGCCAAATATTTTCTAATAATTGCATTACTTGTTGATTAAAATGTACGTTAATATTACTGCTTAACGACACTAGCTTGCGATTATCTCTGACATCACCGTTTACGCTAATAATCTGGAATCGTTTTTTCATATATTACATACTGTAAGTACCGCTGTACCAATACCGTCAGAACATTAGAAGCGTTGTTCAAAACATTGACACACAGTCTTAAACGACGAGTTAAATAAGCGAAGCATAACCTCTTTTCATGCAATAGCTGCGAGTTTTATTCACGCTATTTCTTCTCTCATTTTCACATTTTGTCATAAATAAAAATGCCGCTTTTTCATGATTACTACATAAGATTTATAAAGTAGCGCTTCAATCCTCGTTTTCTTGTTTCTTTACCATATAGTATCATCACTTGATGCACGATCTTAACCTGATATGTTGATTTCCAAATCAATATTTTGCACTAATCTTATATTACCATTTCTGGTAAGTTTTCTTGCCACCAATTATATATATTATTATCGTACCTTCGCCCACCCTCCAAAGGAACAGCATTTTTGTTGCCATGACAAACCATAATTTCCTTTTTTTGGAATAAATAAAAGTAATAAATAATAACGATGTGTATAAAGTAGAATGATGATACTTGTAAACGATAGTCGAAAAGAAACGAATACACATTGATGAATGGACGTTAAAAGTCATCGAGTCAAGTACTTTTTACTCCAAATAATAAAATAACAATCTGCTTGTAAAATCGCTTGTCAAATGTTGCTGCTTTATTGATTATTTTTCTTTATCGTTATCGCTAATACAGTATGTCTCCAAAGTTTGTTTGTCATAAATTGTGAACAGAATGCATTTACATTATTTAAGTTTTAATCGACGTATGCATGCCAGACATAAACTCTTATTACGCTGTTTTATAAACATACTTCTGTTCACGTACATCATATATAATTCCAACCATCCTTGCTAAGAATATCTGGATGCTTATTACATAACTAGTGGAAATTATACATAAATCAATAATTGTCTAAACAAAGGACGAACATAATACATTCATACGAACATTTGATAATCACCTGGTCATATTATAAATCCCGTCTCATCCGTTATTTCAAGCGGAGTCAATCTGACGGCTACACGATAATAATAACCAGCAACACATGGCCACGCGTCTAATTCGTTATATTGTTACTGATTTCAAAGATTTAAGCAACTACAATCTTTGATATAGGGATAGATATTGTTTATTATTTGGGTATGTTTTGCAGGCGTATTAGTGGGTGGCGGGTACGTTTTACAGGCGTATTAGTGGGTGGCGGGTACGTTTGGTTGCCTATGGTTAACGTCTTTATTTAAATTTGATGTTGTTCTTCATCATTGCATGGTATGTCTGAAGATGTGTTTATTTTTTAGCGGGTAAGACTTCGCAAAATTAGCGACTTAAATACCTCGACTGTTTTAGAAGTGGTCGACATCTTTGTTCATTTAGTCGGGCAGACGGAGATTGAGATATGGTCTTCTTTTCAGTTAATGAGATTACGGAAAGGACTGTACAGATAGCAAGTATACGGTTCAGATTGGTAGGTTGGATATTTGTCAGACAGAGGGTAATACAGATTTAATGTTGATGTCGGGTCAATTATCACCGCATTCAGAATTATACGTGGAATTTTACACGAGCTAGTACTAGCTTATGTAGATCAATCATTCCAAGCGCACACATTACCAGAAAGAAAAAGTTGCTTCATTCCTCAGGTGATATTTTTTAAAGACGGCGGTGTAAATGTTCTGTGATCGATGATGGTACGTTAGATAAGAAAACATGATTTGAACAGATAAGGGATATTATCGAAACTTCATTATATCGAAAATTTTCAATATAGTAAAGTTCACATATAAAGTGGCATAAATCTTCACTATGTTGCGACTGACAAATCTTATAATAAATGACTCAAATGTTATTTCTACTGACGAATCTAATACTGCTGAACGATTTATATGAAATGTACTGATACTAAGTTGTTTAACGCAGCAAGTGTCATGCTGTTCAATATGTAGTAACCTCTTGATTCGGTTATAATTTATTAAAGCCATTCAAAAACGAAGAAACAAAAAGGAAACGAGTATTGCGAAGAACTTTTATTCACAATACAAGAAAAAAAACGTACATGTTTTAATCACACGTGTTTGTATTATGATTGGTCAAAATCGATCAGGTTTCACTAATATTGTTTGAGAAACATCTAATAACGAGACTTACATTATATCGAGGGAAATTTTAATAATACTGTTTTTGTATCAGAGGAATCCTTTACTATAGCGCGAAATTCACTGTATCGAGACTTTGCTATAATCGAGGTTTCATCTCCTGGACAGTGAATTGCCTACCAACTACAATTACAATATATTTGTCGTATGTAAACCCGTCACTATGTAAATCCCGTTTGGGGTCCCTAAAAACCGTCAAAACCGCATTTACATACAGCATATTCCCTTATTCAAACAGAGAATAACTCTTAAATTCAGTGTTGGGTTGTTTCTCTCATACACACTAGTTGCTGTATTACAATGTAATCTATACTGATACGATTGAGTTTTGTGAATGAATTACTTCTTCAAAGCGATTGGGGGTTTCCCGTGTGTAAGCGTAAAGCGTATGCTTCTTAGTGATTTCTCCGTGCCGTTCATATACCTATCTTCACTTAGTATCATTGGACTTGAACCTTTATATCAACCGAGTAATTAATTCTAATTTATGTGTAAGCAACTAGGATCTATTTTATGTAGATAACAAGAACGACTTCGACAAGAAAAAATCAGTCGAATAAAGAAGAATATTAAAGAAGAGTTCCAACGTGAACAAGAAAACTTGACGAAACGAATTCGTCAATGGAAGGTTGAAAAACGAAGAAAAGAAATGGCGGAACTGCAAAGAAGAGTAGCTGTAGAAGAACAGCGAAGATATCAAGCGAGGGTAAACCGACGGCAGATTCTTAATAATTTAGATATTCTATTACAAGTGATTAGACACTCGGGTTTATATCACTAAAACATATAGTTTGCAAATGATTTAGCGGCGTCGTAATAATTGTATTCTAATGAGTAGCGGTATCTATCTCGATACTTGTGGATATAGTTTAAACTGTGCCCGAGGCATCCCTATATCCGATACTCACTGGATACTCCGATGGCCGCTTTCATTTCATAATCAAATAATTAGAAAAATAGTTTTATCGAGATGATTTAGCGGCGTCGTAATAATTGTATTCTAATAAGTTAGCGGTATCTATTTCGATACTTGTGGATATAGTTTAAACTGTGCCCGAGGCATCCCTTATATTCCGATACTTACTGGATACTCCGATGGCCGCTTTCATTTCATAATTAGAAAATAATTGCAACAATATATTATAACAAGGCAAATCATTTTTATTAATAGTCAAAGTGCAGATAACATAGTAATATTGTTTTCAAAAATGCATATCAAAAATAAGTGTCAAATTTGCCAAAAATTGGCCTACAGATTAAGGGATACCTGTCTAATCACTCGTCTTCTAACCGAAACAAAGTTTCAATAAAACAAAGAGTTATTTACTAGACAAGTTGCTTTTTGTGGTGCGAGTATTCCTTGTACAGTATAGGCAGTGGTGGGGAAAGCAATGTAGGCTTACTGAATGGTTTCTGAAGGCGAAATCACACAAATGTGAAGGGAGAGCAGAGGAGTTTTATAATAGCGTTTAAGATCGTAGAGGTTGTCAAAAGGGACTAGGGAAAGTTGCTATGTTTATAGTTGATAATACTTGGGGAATATTTGCACTTTGTTGTCTACAACATAACTCGGTGTCTCTTTCTCATTTAATCAGAATCGTGAATAATACAATCTAATGTGTTGGTAGGGTAGACGGTAGAACTTGCGATAAACTTTTGAAGAATGAATTACAGAACGTGTTCAAGTTAAATTGTCAACGTGTTAATGTCAAAAAGTTGAATGGGAGAAAGGAAGACAGCACTTCCAATAAAGCAATCATTATACAATATCTTTAATAGTACCTTTTTTTCCACATTCTCCATATTACTGTCTAAAAATTTTGGCTTGCCTGAAAGCTCTTTTTGAGCACTACATAGCAGCATACTTACAGTTTTGAAAAGTAGAGCTTTTCGAAAAGGATTCTCCTGTCGAAGACCAAAACCTTGGTTTGCTCCGAAGTAGTATATCGCAAGAACCAGTAAACTTGAGTACACGGGATAAAGTGTAGACGAAAGGACTTGTGAGTGAGAAAGATTCTGCTTAGGACAAGCATTTGTAAGGTTGCTTGAGTATTTCGCTGCTATCTTTTTCTGAAGTCAAGTGATTTTCGCGGGAGTCAGATGATCTTCATATTAAATTGCACTCAGTGTGACAATCGTCGGACTGTTGAGGTAGTAGCGAAACAGCCATGCCGCGTATGTCAAAGGGAAGCTCTCCCAATGGCAAGTCAAAAGTGAAGAGGAGACCGAATCCGTTTGTGCTCTACAGTCTAGCAAAGTATCGAGAGAATCCTGGAATCACCCCCATGGAAATTTATCGCATGTGGCATGAAGAACCGCTCGAAGGGCTTGCCAAATTCATCATCTCAGAAAATTACCATTTTAATAGAAATAATAGTAAAGAATGGCTGCGTAGAAGAATCGAAGAAGGTTCAATCGATCGTTGGTCGGAAAACGATATTAAGTTGCGCAAAATACCTATTGCTCATGGTGCGTACGGTGTAATATTCAAAGGAACTATTGAGGCTTCCGGGACTACTGTTGCGGTGAAGACTTTAATTCCTTCCATGTATCGTAATGATGACAACTTATTGTACGAGGCAATTGTTAAGGAGGTTTCTATCAGTTATAGATTTATCTCTGCTATTACTGGCTACATATCAACGATTTCTTAATCTGATTTCTGTTAGCTTAAAAACCATAGAAAGGCTAATGACCATGTTAATATTATCCAATTCTTAGGCCTATATAAAGGTAAAGTATCCATGATTACTTGATGACTGATATCTTCGGTGTCATTATGAAACGATTATATTTATTACCCTTGTTATAATTGTAGACGAGGAAGACCATTATCATATGGTCTTCGAATATGCCAAGAATGGAACTTTGCGTCAGTACCTAATGGAATATTTTTCTATCTTGACATGGAAACGCAAATATGAATTGGGCTTGGGCATTGCAAGTGGTTTAACTCATTTGCATGATCTTGGTATAGTTCACAAAGATTTGGTAATGTGTGATTTTCTCGTATGCTTGTACTGTCGATATCAGTTGCAGTTATACATTTGAATGAAGTCATAACATTATGATTTATTTATCCAGTCCTCTTCGAACATTCTTATTCACAATGGCATTGCTAAGATTACGGACTTTGGTTTGTCTACCATGCTGGCACAACTTCTTTCCGAATCAAGAGGTGAAGGCACAGCAGTGTATAGGGATCCAGTTTCATTCCGAGATCCTTCATACAGGCGTAAAAAAGAATCGGATGTCTTCAGTCTCGGAGTTATGCTATGGGAAATTTCTAGTGGGAAGGCGCCATGCGAAGGATGTAAATGTCATGAAGTGCCTAAATATAGAGAGAAGGGTTTTCGGGATCCCCCTTCTTCTGAAGCACCTGAAATGTATATTGGGCTTTATTCAGAATGTTGGAGGGAAGATCCTTACAAGCGACCAGTATGTAAGGACGTATACCAGCAATTGCTATTGTTATATGAAAATATATAAATACAAATTTACCAAAATCAAAACCGGACAATTGAGGCTCTAGATCTCTCATGTTAGCATATTAACATTGATGCCTGCTCTCTAGAATCAAGCTCTTCTCTAACTGCACTCCCCTGTCGCTCAGCGTAAATTTTCACTGCTTGTAGCAAGTTGAATCACATAATTTTCGGTTGTTAGTTTCAATCATACTTTATTGTATTGTAAACTATTATAAATAATTTATAGACAAAAATATCATGCGTGCCAATAAACCATATATTATTGGATGAATTGAAACAAGTCTTATTACGTGGCAATGGCAAATGGCGAGGATTCCCGATGGATGTGCTCCGTGGATTAATATCTTGTATATAGTTATCATATGATATTAATTCCCGAAACAGATTCCTTTAGTTACGGTGGTGTTCAAAAAAAAGGCACAAATTTAGTTCGTACACTCATACCCCGTCTATATCCCCCCTTTCGTTTAGCTCAAAAGTGGGGGTAAGGATGATGTCGTAGTCACATGACAAGAATCATAATCATAATGATAATGCAAAAAAATAAAATAAAATGGGTTATTCAAATATATACGTACAACAAGATACACCGCATTCGTTTGTAATGCACCGCCGGTCAAAGGTTCAAGATCTTCGCTTCTGTCGACTGTTATTTCTGGTTCAGGAATAAAGTATGTAAAGCGTATCCGCTGTGGTTCCCCTTCAGGTATACGGCTAAGCCCTATTCCTCTTTGTATTTCATAATTATTGACTGCCTCTACATTTTGTTCGACAATATATACAATTAACGACATTGAAGCAGGCATTTTGTTTTAATGATTTTATTAGATTTTAAAAGGGGTATAATTAATAGATGTGTATTTATTAGATGTGTTTTATATTTAGAATTTTAATCTTTGAGATAATGTAGACGCGGATGAAGCAGTACGACTGTATTTATAAGTTTGGATTGAATAGAGATGTTTTATTTAGTAATGTACAAATAATTTTGCATTATTCATATCTGGTGATGTTATAACCCCGCCCTTATCACACCACTTTGGCGTTTAACAGAGCTCATATTAATACGATTATATGGCAAATTTCATTACGTCACAGTCTATGTTATTATATTGATCACACCACACACCGATTGTGGCTGAAATTTATCACGCCACATGTCACACAACAATTCTGGAATAAAATTTTTTTCACATCAGGTTACACTATCGCTTTTTAGCCATTACCGTATAATGGCAGAATTTCGATCACACCACATCGTGGCTTCGATCACACCATCGAGATTACTATCGTTCTTATGTTGTGGCTTCGATCACACCACATCGAGATTACACTATCGCTTCTTTATTTATTTAATTTAATAATCAATTGTTGTTACATAGTTATGGCGTCGATCACACCACATCCCCTTCTTATGTTGTGGCTTCGATCACACCACATCGAGATTATTAAACGATTATCACGTTTGTAATGCCTTATCATAAATCGGCCAATGGTTGTCGGGCAAATGACTGAACGCCTCTCTGTACAATGGCTCTTTTTGGAATAGTATTGAGAAAGTTTTTGACAACAAATCTTAAGTTCAGACTTTCCCACGCACACATTAAGCTATTACTACTGTACTGTTTGTAACTTACTTTAATTATCTAGACCCGGTTGCCTACCGCCCTTCATACAATGGGACTTGCTCACTTAACCGTAAGCGCCGTAGCCAAAAAAATAAAATAAAATAAAATAAAATAAAATCACGTGCATACGTTGCGTGCCGGAATAGAGATGTGCATTTAGGGAGTGTGCACTTGGAGGTTTATCTGTATATTCATTCACTCCTCTCTTATTTATGCAACCACGTCTTCTTCCCTACTGATATACAAATAAATGGACAGTTTTTTGCCAATAAAAAGTATTGTTGAATTTCCATAAACATTCGCTTCACTATTCAATAAAGTTAATAAACCGAGTTTTGACTGAATATGCGTTCTACTAACTTCTCAGTTTTATTTACGTTTTCACATAAGTCAGTCTATCAATCAGAAACAACTTCAACATTCACTTATTGTGTTAATGGATATGTATGATAGTAAAGAATAACAGAACCGAATCAGGAGACTTACAAGAATTTAAACTGCAAGTTAATCGTTTGTAGTACTGCAATAATAGAAGTAGTCACATCGGTTAAAAGTAATGAGGATTCAATGGTATTTGGAACAAATTTAGTTAACGCGGTGAACATTGACGTATGGTCTTAAACAAAGATTAAAGTACTACGTAGTCAACTTGCCCTCTTTCATATAAAGTCTGAATATAGTGTAGCGTTAATCGCTTTATTTATTTAATCTTGTTTTTTTATCGTGAAAACTTCGTATTCCTCAAGAGTGCCACTTGCAACGCTGCATGCAATTCCATAGCGATTACATCCTGATATATTTGAACTCCATGTTTGTTGATTTATATAAAAGTTGCTACCAAAAAACGGACCATAACCGTCGTAACTCCAACCACCGAGGGAAACGCATCTGCCAATGCGTGCTCCTGCGGTCGATTTTCCGTCAGACATCTCACAAATGAAACTGTTATCTGCAGAGTTGTAATATTGGGAGCCAGTTGAATTCCAATGTGAAGGATTATAGCCGCCGAATATATTTGGATTATTCGTAACTTTGGCAATTACAACAGTTGGGCCTTTGGAGGAGCACATGTTGCAAAATTTTTGATTATCAAATCCATCACGACTTGCCCGATAGATAAGTGTAAACTCATAGGGAATCTCGTCATAGGCGGCATTCTTTGAATCAATCCATCCAGCAATAAGAGCCATGACAGAATAACCAACTAATCTCGAATCAAACCTAGCTCTCGCCATAATATCGTTCGGTTTTCTGGATGGTAGCATGATAAATTGCAACATTTCTTCCCTTAATTTTTTAGAGAACAATTTTTTGTACGGCCTAACTTCGTCATAATATTCGTCTGCAGACATTGTAAAGAACCGAATAGATTCAACTAAAACAGTCAGTGTCTCCTTCATTTGATGTACATCGTCTGTCGACCATTCTGTCGGGGGGTTTTTCAGCTCTGGATGTCTGGTTGCGCCCCATTTCAAGACATATTTCCATAATTCAACTTCTTTCACACACAACTTATTATGTCGCAATATCTGAGCAAATATGTCTTCTTCTAATGTCAAATAAATGTCAGAACCGAACAATTTTGTGCAATCGTCGCAAATTGCATCAAGACAAAAGAGTCTAAGCGTTTTGCACGATTCAAGTCGGAAAATTGATCCAAGCACTTGGACTGGTTGTTCAACTATGAAAGGTTTTCTTGATTCAATAAGATAACTCTGCGCAAAGCGAAGTAGATTACTCAGATTCATTTCGTCTGATGCAACCAACAATTTAAGAATCTGAGATCCATCACAGTTCTCTATATTCACCTCTCCCGTATAGAGATATCTATAACGTCACAGTATATGACATTAATCCGCTGAACAGAGATGATTTGCTCAATACATTGCACTTTACCTTAGAATGATTTCAAAGACATCGGCCTCGACATTGGCTTTCTCAAAAACATAGTAATTGCCCTTCAGTTTGAGCCATTTTCTGGATAGTGCAGCTCGGAAATATTTTGATTGCGCGCACAGTATTTGAGAATGTACTTTGAATTCCTTTCTATCTTGTCTATAACCTGCATATAAGATGAGGTCAAAGTTCCTGCCACTTTCGAATAGCTTCAAAAAATTAGTTGACTGCTGAGCATAAAAATTTTTGGACATGTTTGTGCGAGAAAATGTGATCGGTTCCAGAGTGCACGTTTGTGCTATAAATCAATTCTCATTCCATTTTGGAAAAAGCTTAAGTTTGTACCACACAGCATTTACGATCATCGAAATACGTATTAGTATGTATTCTTGCAAACAATCGTCTTGGTGCGAAGTTTTAGTAGCATGCTTTTTTATCCATTATACGAATAATATTATAACAAACGTATTGCTAAATTTTTATAACATTTGATTGAGATCACAAATAGGTTCCAAAAAGCTTCGCTTCACCCAAGAATCAAGGTTTGACCAACTCGTCTGTTAGTGGGCACTGATCGTCATGTTATGCCCATTCTAGGATTTGACCCATTTTTCGATTTTGTCCAAACATGGGATAATCTACAAAAAAATTTTTCATTCCAGTAACACACAGACAATAATTTTAGAGACTATACCGGATATGTACAACAAGCATTTCTTTACTTGTCGCTAAACTTGTGGCCAAAGTATTATTAAAGAAGTGGAAGTTATGTTTGATTACTACAGTCAAGACTCGATATAGTAAAGTCGACGGGACGGGGATTTTTCTTGACTATATCGAATATTTACTATATCGAATATTCTCGTTATAGTAAAGTTTATATATACGTGGCATAAATATTTACTATATCGCGACTGGCCAGTCTTGTGGTAGTATAATAATAAATGACTCAAACGTTATTTCG